TTGCTCAGAGTGGAAGTGAAACACGGAAGAATAGAATTCATAAGGTCATGAGCTGGAAGAGACACTCTGCTAGCTAACCCTGCTCATTTTTCAAAGGATGAAACAGGCACAGAAAAGGGAAATGACTTTCCCAAGGTCACCTGGGGAGTAAGAAAACAAATATTTTAGCTGTCATAGAACTTGATAATTATAGAATTGTCCCAAATTAAAAATATATTAACATTTTAAAATCTGTTCTTACCAGTCACATTACTTGACATGTCTCAAGACCCAAGCTCATGTCTTATTCTCTTCTTGGTCTTAGAAAGCTTGTAATTAACCAGGTACTGAAGGCCCCATCTTTCTTTCTTTTTTTTTTCTTTCTTTTTGTCTCTTCCTTCCATTGGTAGAAGCCCAACAGTGGGCAATGACATCCCAAGGAACCCCATTGTACAGAGATGGCTGGTGCTTCTCTCCAGGTAGATATAGTCTGAGGAGAGTTGCTTGATTCCTGGTAGGCTGGGAGAGGGGATAGGTTGAGAGAGTGGAAGAGACAAGGAACCAGATAGGGGGTAAAATCCCTTACATTACTTAGGTAATCTTTTTTTTTTCTTCTCACTGATCTCCTTTTATATATCTTCCTTCTCACATGTCTGTGTTTTTTTTCTCCTCCATGCTATGGCAGTGGTGCTCCATGCTGATGAGACAATACTTGGTGCAACCCCAGGCATTCCTTTTTCAGGTAATTTCTTAGGGTCCAGCTCACACTTTTTTTGGGTATCAAGCTGATTGGCTTTCCTGATGAAGCAGGGGTGCTTGGATGAGGTTTCTTCCCTGAGGTTTTATCTGTCAAGCCTGAATCCAGTGTCTTAGAAAGGAAAATGCCCAGGTGTTCATTGACTGTCCCTTCCCCCACCCTTCTCCCAAATATAACCTTTGTGGATAGGCTAGAAATCATAAGCAGAACTCATGGCCATGCCTCAGTACAGAAGAAATCTCCTTATTAGGCAGGCGTTCTAAGGAGTGAATCCAGATGGAAGAGCCTGTTTTTTGCTGGAGAGGGATTAGTGTTCAGTATTTGTGAATTGCTGACATCACTTATTTTAGTGATAACGAAGGGATGCACGATATGCCTCACTGATGCAAACCCCCCATATGATAATAAAATCACTCCAAGATCTCTGGGAAATAGGAAACTCAACAAATAATAATTTTGGTTGAATTGGAATAGTGCAAAGAGAATTGTGTACTTTGTGTGTGTCCATGGATCCTTGTCCTGTGCCATGCTTATTTAGTGCCTGTTGTACCCAGATTTTCATAGGAATAAAGAAAGATATGTGAGAATTACTGCTATCATTAACTAAATAATTAAATAAGGCCATCCTTCACATTCTACCTTCTGCTTTTGAGACTCATACCTTTCCTTCTTGTATACTCTCTGTTCACTTGTCTGTAAAAACTGAAATCTCTATTTGGCACCCTGGATGAGGAACATGCCAGATAAGGATCAATGAAAGGAATTAGGCATGGGTTAGTTAGGAGAAGAGAAGAATAGGAGGAACATGAGAGTTGTTTTTAGGTCTATAAATTGCTTTTTGTGGAAGAGGGATTAGTCTTATTCTCTTTTGCCCCAGAAGGTACAACCAAGAATGGTGGGTGGAAGGTGGAAGGGAAAAATTAATTTGATTGCGCGACAGAGTATTTTAGGAGGTTCCTCTTGATTGGAAGTCTTCAAGAAAAGGTTGGATATACATTTGAAGGGATTTTTGATTGGGTTTGGGTTGGGGTAAATGGCTTTTTTGGTCCCTTCTGGCCCCCAAAGTCTGTGATTATGTGTGAGTCCACTGAAGTATCTTTGGCATGCTGTGCATGAAGTCTAAAGAAGTCTTTTAGAGGCCATCTGAGACTGAGCATCAGAAACATTGTGGCAGAGGTTTTAGTATGGCTAGCTGTGTTGAATGGCTTTTGCAGGAGGGAATACCAGAGGACAATCTCTAGTTGTTGTTTTTTTTTTAAATAAGACTTTATAGGCTGCACACTCTGTGAACAAGTGGTATTCAGCTGAAGAAAATGCATATCACAGCTGGCCTTTGTGTTCAAATGAGTTTTTGGAAACCTGAGAAATAGCAGTGTTATGTACAGTGAAAAAAATAGTTGTGAGATCGCTACATCCTAGGTCAGTCTTTTCCTTCACCCCTAAAGTTGTTCCCATATCCCTGCTCTCACACAGATCTGGAGAAGGGTGGCATCATCACTTGGTCTGCAAGATCCGAGCCTGCTTCTTCAGCTGCTATCCATTTGGTATATATACACATACACATACATATATGTATAGTGTATATACACACATGTATGTACATGTACACAAACATGCATATATGTACCACATATATACCAAATGTCCAGCAGCTGAAGAAGCAGAGTAGGATCTTGTAAACCAAGGATGATGCCACCCCTTTCCAGAGATATACATACATAGAGATATACATACATACATATATGTGTATACACACATGCACATATATGTATGCATGTGTATGGATAGATTTAGATATATATATGTATATGCACACACATATACATATACCCCTCTCCAGATGTGTATAGATAGATATACACATATACACACTGACCTACATACACACATATATACACATACACCCATCTCCAGATGTGTGTAATGTAGATATATTTATGTATATATCGATACCTATCTATCTGTCTCTCTATCTATCTACCTACCTATCTATCTATCTATCTATCTATCTATCTATCTATCTATCTATCTATCTCTCTATCTATCTATCTATATTTCCCCCCCAATCATTTCCTCTAGGCTTCTCTTCCATTTTCAGAACTGACCTCATTCCCTGTTGGAGGCTCTATCAGTCACTTTTTTTGGTTGCCTATAGGCTATCAGATTAGTTCTTTCCATGTTTGTAATTACAATAATAATATTTGGTGTCTGTATGGTGCTTTGGAAAGTGTTTGACATAGCTTCATGTGATCAGCACTTAGCACAGTGTCTGGAACATAATAGGTGCTTAATAAATACTAGTTAAATGACCTTATAGTGACCACAAGAGGTGGGTGGTAGAAGTATTATTGTCCTTATTCTATTGATCAAGTTCAGAGGAATTAAGAGAGTAGGGCAGCTAGTTGGTACAATGGGTAAAACACTGGACCTAGAATAAGGAAAACCTGAGTTCAAATCCAGTCTCAGACCCATGAGGAGTTATGTGACTGTGGGCAAGTCACTTAACCTCTCTCTGTGTCTCAATTTCCTCATCTGTAAAATGGGAATAATAATAATGACAATAGCACCTATATATTGACCTAGAGTTATTATGGAGATATAAATGAGATAATATGTGCAAAGTATTTTGCCAACCTTAAAGTGCTTTGCAAATGCTATCTATTTTTAAGTGATTTTCCCTCAAGGATGCATAGTCACATAGCTAACAAATCAAAGAGAAAGAACTTAAACTTGGGTCATCTGACTATAATACAATCCCACTACACAGGTAATACTGAGTGCTTGGTAGTTATGGAAAAGCAGGGCTGTTAAAATTCTCTCAATTAAGACTCAAATGCAGATTGTCCCATTTCTTATTTTAGCAGCCATGTCAGGAACAACCTGAAAAGCCACACCAAAATGGCTAATTATTTTCTGCAGCCCAGGGTATATCTACCAGCCAATTTGGCAGAATAATAATTTTTTTAAAAAGAGATCAAAAGAGTATTGTTAGAATGTACTTTACCATCTCCTCGTAAGTGTCCTATGTGCCCATTATCAGGTGTGACCTATAATCTGATTTCATCATATAGGCAACACTCAAAATCTTACCACACTGAAAGGTTTAATACCATTTACATGATCCTGAAATTCTTGTGCTCTCATTTTGAATGATGGCAAATTTACCAAGTACCCTTTATGACTGGCATAAGTGAAATCAAACATTCACGAAAATTGCCAGTCCTAAATTTCCCTGGAGTGACTAGAAACTTTCAAACAATCCCACTTTTGTCTATGTAACAAATACTCTTTCTCCCTACCTCTCTTTTTCTGCTTGTTTTCTCTCATTACAGAAACTTGTTTAACTAGAGATAGGATTTCAGGTGTGAGAGTGATGGTGGGTAGACAGCACATTCATACTTGTGGTTTAGGAGGAAAATTCCTGATTGGTATCCCTGTTATCTTCCCTGAGAACCATTCTGACAGCTATTTCAATCCTCTGGGACTCCAAGAAGAAGACTCTAATTTCAAGATTTTGGTTTCATAAAAATAGCTTAAAAGAAGGGAGACAGACCTCATAGAACAAATTCCTGTTGGGGTCATGTAAGTGTTTCTAAGTAAAACCCACTTTCTTAAAATTTTCAGCAAAGCACCACTTGGTTGTTGTTTTTTTAAACTTAAAATGACCATTTGTTCAATCCAATCTCAGTTCACTAGATAAAGAATTTAGTCCTCTTAATGGAGTAAGAGCATAGGCAGCAGCAACCTCTCATTCATTCACCTGCTCAAGGAGACATTGGTTGCTGCTGCCTGTTTTCTCACTAACACAACCCTCCCCTTGGTGGGAGACATGAATCTCTTCCAAACAACCAGCTCCCACTTCTTTTGCATGCTGTGTTTACATACAGTAGTGAAAAGGAATTTAGTTTCATGGACCATGAAAGATACCAGAGGCAAATTTGAACCGAATCATGATCAACTCATTGAGACTTAGTTATTTTCTGCTAAGTTTGACAACTCAACAATGACTACAACAAATTTGCTGTCTATTTCCATGAAGCTGGGCAGAGAAACCCATCTGTTTGTTCTATCCCATACACAGTGATCTAGGACTGAAACTGAATGGAAGTGTGTTACTAAATGTGGTCTGGTTTTCTTGTGTAGTGGGATTTGGCATTGTGGAGGAATTTTCCTGGTTTGGTTAATGGCAGAGAGTCCAGCAACACATAACTATAGCCCTTCAGCTATTGTATTGCTGAGGTGTTTTTTTTGCTTAATTTTTCAGACCACAGAATACTCAGCCATGGCATCACTAGCTGGTGGATTAGATGACATGAAGGCCAATTTAACAAGCCCTACGTCTGCGGATATAGGGGCCAATGTCCCAGGGCCACAGTCGTACCCCATTGTGACAGGTAAGAAATGCTAAAGACTGATGTATGTTGCAACCAAATGGATTTGTTGATTGAGTGGGGGAAAAACACAGCAGCATTTTGGTGCTTATAGTGGTTGGTACCTATTTATATTATAATCAGGTCATAAAACATTGGAATGTGCATGTGGATGGGAGGCTATTCTCTCTAAAGAAGTCTTGGTCTTGATGTGAGTTCATTACTTACTGTTCAAACAAGGCCAGAGGAGATACAAATCTAAAACTTAGATTAAAAAACTTGCACGAAAACAGTAACTGAGCCTTATTATGTGCTTGTATTGCTGTTTATCAGAAAATTGTTTCAATGGCATTATGTCTGGAATACATGAGGTTGGGATTTGTGATGGCTTTGAATCTAGATTCTGCTGTTTGATATCAATAAAAATCAATTGAAGTCCTAGTTCCTTAGCCATTTCATGGTAGAGAATGACCCATTAATAAGTACTCTTTTATATAAGGTGGCTCTTAAACCTATCGTCATTTGTTCGATGGCTTATTAAGGGGCTATTAAGAATAGGACTGTGCATCAATGAACTAACCAGAATGCTTGAGCCCAGGTGTTGAGCACTAATTTTTCTCTGTCCTTATGCATTTAAGCTTTTTAGCTAGTGTTTGGCCCAGGAATTCCTTCATTGCAACATTTCTTAACTTGGACTTTTTAAAAGAAATATTTTAATACTTTGAATTTTGGCTTTTTTAAAAGAATTTTTTAAAACTATATTTCAATATAACTAGTTTCATTTGTAATCCTACATATTTTATTTTATGCATCTAAAACATTATTCCAAAAAAGAGTCCATAGGCTTTATAGACTTAAAAAGGGATCTATGACATAAAAAGTTTAAGAACACCTGTTTTATTGGGACTATATCCTAAGGATAAGATTGATGGAGGGTGGAGGGGGGGGTCTACTTGTGGGGAAAAACATTTTAGCAGCATTATTTGTAATAGCAAAAAAATGGGAGAATGATACATAGAATCAATAATCAAGGAATCTTTGGACAAATTGTATTGTGTGAGTGCAATGAAATATTATTGTGTATAAGAAATATCAAATACCTGGAATACAAATGTATGTTGAAAGGCATAAGAAATGATGCAGAGTAGAAAGAGGAAGAATCCATAAGCAGTAAATTTTGGAGGGGGCTCTAGAAGACTTATGTAAAATAGGTTGGGCTTTGTGGACTATATGTTTCAATCTTCTGAGTGAATGATTTGCACAATTGGAAATAGCACTCTGACAATTTAATTCCACAAACATTTATTAAGCACCTACTACCTGCTAGTATAGTGATAGTAGTGATACAGAAACAAGGTCAGTGGAATCCATGACAGTCGGGACTGTGCTGAAAATTCTTTTCGTCCTTGATATTGATTTGTTTTTATATTTTACTTTGTCCCACATAGTCCTCTCGACTCCTTCATTCCAGGTCACCAATGTTGCCTCCCTCCTCTTTGACTGACCTCTCCACCTTAGGAGATGAAGCACGATGTAGTAGAAAGATTATTTGACCTAGAGTCAGAAAGATCTGAGGTTAAATCTGGCTTCAGGCACTTACTAGCAGTGTGATTCTGGGCAAATAACTTCTCTGAGCCTCAGTTTATTCATCTGTAAAATGGGAATGATAATCCAGCCATTTAGTCCAATCCCCACTTAAAGCATGAACCCCCTTCACGACATCTGCAATGTATTCACTCAGAATGGTGAAGTGACTTGCCCGAGATCACAAAGGAATAAATGGCAGAAACTGGATTTAAACTCAGGTCCTATAACTACAAATCCAGTGCTCTAACCTTTTGTGAAGAAGTTATTATTACTGTGCCTCATAATCCTATGAGGATCACATGAGACAAGAGATACAAAATGCTTTGTATCATTGTAGCATTTTAAAATGTTATCCTAATACGAGTTACTTATTATTATCTGGAAAATGAAGGACATTGGACTAGAAATTGGACTTATTAGCTGTGTGACCCTGGGAGAAGTAAAAGCCCTTTTTGGACATCATTTTTCTTTTCTGTAATATGCAGTTATTATTGTGGATAACTGGATTGTATAATGCTTATAACTATTGCACAAGATTATTGTGAGAAAATTGCTTTGTATGACTTAAAGGGTTGTATAAATGTGGTTGTTATTGATATTGTTATCATTGTTCTTCATCTCGTTCTTATCATTTTTGATCGAGTTCAGATGAAAAGGGTCCTGGTACAAGTTGCTATCTTGCTATTATTCTTTTATTTTTAGTGTTCTATGGACGATTGCCCAGGTGGATAAAAATAATTGCCTTCTTGTCACTGAATAAATTACAAAACTTGTAATCACCATTTATTTCTTTATCACTTTTCTTTTTTTTATGTAGTCCAGACAGAACTGTCCCCTCTTTGGCTTGAAAACCATACTTAGCTCTATTCAGGAGTGACGACAAAGGAATTAATGTCAGGCAGTGCCATCGTGACTTAAATTGTCTCCCTTGGAGATGCCACTTTTTAGATCAATTTTTCCTGACATTACCGTGCTGGCGGCATGTTTTAAATAGAGGACATTTCTCCATGTGAACATCACATACTCTATCTAGTATTTTCACTCTGCTTGGCTCTATTTACATATTTGCAGACCATGACTAAACCATGAGTGTGGAACTGAGTCAAAAGCTTTGTGATAAGAAAGGAAATGTAAATGACACTTTGGGGAGTGGGGAAGATTGTTCAGTTACCACCAAATAAACAATGAGTTGCTTTTATAGCCTTGGAACTTAGAATTATAAGCTCAAAGCTTATTAGTCAACAGGTCAACAACTGTTTATTAAGTGTCTACTATGTGTCACTTACTGCGCTAAGCATTGGGAATATAAGGTAAAACCAGTCCCTACCTTTAAGGAGCTCACACTTTATTATTAATAACTACTATTAATGTTTCATTATCATCTTTTATCATGAAGTTTGGATAGAAATGATCCTGGAATGAATCACTATTCTACTGTAATTTTTTAACATTTAATATTTTGTAGACTATTGCACAGGTGAATAAATAACTGATATTTGTAAGTTTGAGTGCATCAAAGAGAATAATTTGCAGATTTAATGAAAGCATCTCTAGTGCAACTTCAGTGGTAGACAGGACAATAGGAATGATATGCATCTTATCCTGATCCCACATGAATTTGACCTCTACTAGGTTTCTATGTTTTGAAAACTTTTAATTCCATGTAATTTGGAGATTATGATTATCTGATCTGGTGACATTTATTAAAAAAAAGTTGTTTTTAGTTTTTATGAATCAATGTTATGTTTGGGTGGTTGTGGGCAACAGTTTGATTTGTGACAGTGTTATGGGGATTTGCCTTCTATCAGTCAGTATTAGACAGCAAGCTTCCTATGTATAATGCTATCCCATAGGTTGTGTCTTGTTAGGTATTTAGTAGACAGTAATATTTTAAAGCCTGAAGCAATATGTTGCATGTTTGCTGCTATTTCTTAAAGTGAGTAACTGATCAAAATGTCATTTCTGGTGGCAGTGACCTGGACCTGAATTGCCATCTTAAACTACTCCATCACCAATAGCTCCGTCATTTGATGCTTCTTTGTGGACATATTGTTGACTGAGTTTGTACAGATGTTGCAAATAAAGGGCTTGTGAATTCCATTCTTGGATCATAATAATTTCATAGGTTCCATCTTGATAAAAAGCACTTTCAGTCATATTTTGGCTTATCCAGTGGCATATACTGGTTATCATTCCTGACTATTGTTCCATGAAGTGATGTCTGCTTGTCCCAGAACTACTTATATAGATTTCTGACCTGCTTATTAGGTGCTCTGAGAATGTCCAGTGTCTTTTTGGTGAGGAAATGTTAATTTGTCAGTAACTGCCTAAAGGGGATAGGTCCTATATTTTATTAACATCACATGGGTTTTTGTTAGGATACTTTCCAAAGGTGTTATGGTCCATTTTTGCAGTTACAAAAGCACACATCAAAACTGGTATTATGTAGGTGTTAATCATCGTCAATGTTTTTCTTCTTCTCATTAAGCTTTGAAGTCAGGATGCTAGTAAGTCTCTTAATGTATTTGGTTACAGGCTTCTTCATATCTTTATTCTTGATTTGTCTTGTCTGGAGAAGACTAAGGCATTTGTAAAAATTGCCTTCATCCATTGGTTCAGCATAACCTTTGGATTCAAGCTTGAAGTCTTCAGATGCTTCTTTCTCTGGTATACACTAAGAATTTCAAGAGATGAATGGGATGAGTTGTTTAATATGTTTTCCAGTGGAGCCATATAGCTTGATGTCAACTATGTACATCAAATGATTCATAAGATGTTTTGATTTGACCCTCTCTTTAACTTGGAAGCCATACTCAGATCTATAGGACAGTTGATAATGAAATCAAGACAAGGGAGAACCATACCAGCCTTAAACTAACCTCCTGAAAAAATTCCACATTTTCTATTAATTTTTCTTGACATTATTATTGGCAGTATGTTTTAAATAGAGAACAGTTTTCCATGTGGACATCAAGTATGCTAACATTCTTACTATACTTTGCTCTGTTTTACATGAACAAGCCATGAGTGTGAGATTGAGGCAAAGGCTTTGTGGTAATTAATATAGATAATGTAGGTGCTACGGTGCTTTTGTGCACCTGTTAAATAATTACTGAATCAATAATAAATTGATCTTTGCCCTTGTGATACTTTTTGGCACATTCTTTTTATCCCTCATCCAATATGTGGTTTTCTGTGAATGCTTTGGATGAAGTATATCAACAAATACTTGGCCTAAATCAACTGAAACTATTCCCCCAAAAGTTACCAGTGATCTCTCCGTTGCCCAATATAATAGTCTTTTCTCAGTCCTCATCATTCTTGACCTTTCTGCAGACTTTAACCTTTCATGATACTGTTTTCTCTTCTTTTCTTTCCTCAGTCTCCACCTCCCATGGATTCAACTATTACCTCTATGTAGATGATTCTCAGATTTA